CCAACTTTCAGAAGAATCAGGTACCCATTTAGTAGGGGTTTCAGACTAATCAGGACGGTGTTTGCCTTTGCGGTTAATTCGACGAATTTTAATCACCGAACCTCTTTCACACGTCATTTTCATCAATTGAAATTTTTCCCAGCTCCCATTATTTGAAGAAAACAATAATTAGTTATAATAATAATAAAATACAACTCCTGTTGGCTGAGATGACGATTATCTTCACTTTGCAAGTAAAGTGAGAAGCCATCAGAGATTCGCAAACATTACATATAATATGCGTATTCAGAATTCATCTTCAAAGCCAGAATCATCCTGATTGGTCAAATTCCGACCATAGACCGATTAGGGTAGCTGTGAGTTCGTGCATTTATATCTCATCTTGTGGTAGGTATTACATTTTTCACCCCTTCGTATAGGCAAAGGCGATATTGTCCATAGGTATACTTCCAGAAACTCCCGAAGCTATTCACGAAATATGATTTTTTTGCAACTATACCTCTTTTTGATATTCGTGTAATCTTTCTGGATCTATACCAAATGGCCATGGGTACTAGCTCACCCCTCTTCAACTTTCGAGTAGTTCAATATGAATTCTTCCAGATTCAAATAATGGTACGTTCCGAATTCCTGCAAAAGAACCTAAAAAAATAGACTTGTCACTTCCAAAATTTCAACCAGAAAATCGTCCTTCTAATGTGGAACGATCTCCTAAAGTCATTTGAAAATCTGGTGTTGAGTTCATACTGCGACGTATGTATGAATCTGTTGAAAGTTCAGAATTAAGTAGGAACATCTTGAACTCCTCAAGAAGTTACAAGTAAATAATATTGTTCCAAAGTCAAGGATATCACCGAGTTCAGAAACCAATGAATACGTATTAATAATTTGCCCTATACCGGTGAAATTGGCGTCATCAGCTGTACCGGGTGAACAACTATAAGAATGGCTGTCATATCTATCATTCTTCCAACTTTGATAAGCAATATCTTCCGTTGGCGAAAAGCTATCATGTTTTGGCGGTTTTGTTGGTCTGTTGAGATTTAGTTTCTCTATTACATCGTGTAATAATGATATGCATACCATTAGATCTATTCTATCTCAAACTTGTATCATTATTCGTTGCTGAGAGATGGCCGACAGCCGTTCTTTGTTTTTCACCCGGTACAATTGAAATTGTTCATGATGGTGTGTATAAACATTGATTTTTCAAACTATTTCAATAGTGTAATCTTTGATACGGGTCAGGTCAAGAAAGAATTCCGAGATACAAAATCAATTATTATATTCTATTGCATTCGAACTGCCTTCTTAGCGGCGAAATTATGTTAGGTATTTTCTAGGTAGCACTTGATTATCTCCATCAGTTATTATGAAATTGCATACCTAACGAGTCTAGTCATCACTTTGTATATGTAATAATATTATCTATATGAAGCGGGTAATGTATCGTTTTTTTTTTCAATATTTTAGTCAAAGTACAAGGAGCATTTACACTATGTCATAATTTCTTGAGCATTCTATTGTTATTTTTTCAAAATAGGAATTTTCCATATTTGACAGATATAATTCGATAAAATGACATGGAAATGTTATGTGTTCATGAAGGACTCTTTATTTTGAATCATGAACTAATAATATGATGAATCTGCAAAGCCCCCTGAAACAAAGTAATAAACATTCAGCTACGCGAATGACAGATCACAAATGAGATTCGGTACTGCTAAAAAATTGAATATTATTTTTGTTTGCGATTATTTAATGGTTCATAACTTTTACCAAACTGAAAGATTAATGAGTCTTTTCTATGTCGATATCTAGATATTCATTTGAAACTCTCTTCAACATAAAATTCAGAAATGGCATTCCTGATGCATCTGCTACGCTCAATGGTCGATTCTGGGCGGTGCTTGGAACAAATACGAAAAACTAGTATTGACCAACGAATATTTCCTAAACCTGAAATTTCAACACTATACGGCGGTTATTATAAGCATTACAAAATAGGTTAAACTAGTTTTGAACTAATTGAAATGTACAAAACTAGTTCTGTCCTGAATGAATGTATATATATATATTTGGAAAAATGTTCATTTAGGTAAGTTAGGTTAGATTGTTTAAAAAATAAATTGAAAGTAAAAAAAGTTTTTTTAATAAAGCTTTTATTTAAATGCTCTAAACAGGAGAAAATAACATTTTCTTTCCAAATTTAGATGGTTGGACCGGCCCGCAACTATAGTTTATCTGTAACTATGTAATGCTCAGTAACCGTACACGATTAAAATTTCGGGTTTAGAAATAACCATATACGTATTAATAATCAATACGGATAATCTCTATCTGTTTCCATAGCGAAACATGAAGCCGATTTTTGAAGACAAATGACTATCCATAAGGAAAAGTGAGATACGATCAGACACATACTGCTTTGATTGAAAGGCTAGTAAACGTCATTGTCCACCGAAACGCATGTCTTTGATGACTACTATAATAGCGCATGGCGCATGTGTATCATGCCACCAAATCCTTATGGATATTATTCATTTGTTTCATATTTTTGGCTTCATCCTGGCACCCGTTATGATCCGTATTGTTTATTAATACGTATATGGAAATAACCTCCCTCAAAATTAGTTTTGTGTTTGTTTTGGGCATTATTGCTTCAAATCGACTATTGAGCGTAACACATCTATCGACAAATCAAAAAATTTAATTTAGCCACTAGGTGATACGATATATGAGTTCTGTAACTTTGGTTTAGGTACTGGTTACAACTTTAATATTTGAATAGATTTCAGGAACATCTCAATTCATTAAATTTTGGTCGGTAATTTGTTATTATTCACTAGAGGTATATAGGTATTCACGAAACCTTTGTATAGTATATATAACTGATGGTCAGTTGCATGAAGAATTTGACAGATAATATTGATTTGTTCGTATCATGGTTTATCCCTATGGCAATATTTGCCTTCAGCTGATGAGTTAGAAAAAATGCAAACGGCATAAAAAAAGTCGATTCTGTGAATATCAATATACGACGTAAATTAAGGGGGATATGGAATACCTTTCATCAATTTGGTCGAAAGGAAATGCATTATTCTAGTCAATCTGCATGAATAAATATTTCGATTATTTTCAATCATATATTTAATTTATTGTGAAAATCGGCTGTCATCCTTTCCAAACTGACCTACTTTTTTGATTGTGGGTGCTGGTCTATTCTAGCTTCTTTTATATCTGAATTCTTGGAACTTTTCAGGATGGATATGAATGATTAACTACCTTAGAATTGAATGGCTTGGTGCTAATTTGTGTCATATAAAACAGGTGCCAAATATTTTCAAATGTGAATTTGAAATTGCCAAATTGGATAAAACATCAGAGTTGCTTCATTTTAAGGTAAAAATTAGTTACTAAGATTTGAGATGATACAGTGTTCTTTGACGAGAGTGTTATTGTCTCATAATATGCTCACCGAGATACAAATATTTCTGTTGTTTTTGAATGTGAATTGTTTTAATAGGGATATTAATGTTATACTAGTAAAAATTTATTGTTTTCACTTTGAAAAATAAAAAATAACTATGCGATGATAAGGGGAGGAATAAGGAAAAGGTTTAATTCAATTTTATAATGTTTCCTGATTTGGATTTATAAAACGAACTGTAATTTATATATACATATAAATTTATAAGTCGACAAATATAAAGGTACAAAAATTAAATTTGTTTTATTCAACCTTCAGAATGAGTTTAGCACTATGAGAAATATTAATTATTCAAGATGGAATTATGCGGCATCTATATTCAGCGAAGAAAAACCTCATCGAGAAACTTCGTAATGTCAGATTATTTATATATATTTAGGTATATAGGTGCTTGAATGATATATATATATCTAGCAATTTCCAACGAGAAGATTCATATATATAGGTTGACTCATAAAAATCGCCCAAAGCCATAGCGCCGCTATATTAACAATCAGGTTTTGAGGAACAAGAGAGATCTTTCAATCAATAAATTTTTTTCAACTAATTCTGCTCGAAAGTCAACTCTTCATATATCATAGTACCTATTGAGACAAAAATCTAGAGAGATACAGTTCCGGACTTATACGTCACGGCTCCACCTTCATATATCTCGCTCTTTGAAATATCCAATATGGAATATGCTGATTTCAAAACGCTATAGATTTGATGCCTCCCACTTATAATATAGATTGTACATTAAATGTGAATCATGATTCTTCGATTGAGAAAGGTTTGGATGGATTTCATCTTCAATGGTCATCCACATTGGACGTTGGACGACTCCCCCTGGTTTCAGTTTTGAAACTATACTTGACCTGTTACTCTGTTACATATTCTTGACGACTGAATTTATATGTGAAGATCTTTGATGAGTGGATCAATGTTATTACGCCCTCTAACTGCTAAAAAATATCATGGCAGAAGTTGATGAGAATAATCGATGAGAAAACCAAGGAGAAAACTGTGACCACATCAGGTTATTGATGAGTATCCTTGTGGTGTTTTTTTTTCAAAATACAGAGTAGAAAACCAGAAGGCAGGTTATCTAAAATTTCAGAAAATGTTCATATAAATTATGTATGAGCTATTTATTATCGGTGTCTCAGAGTAGAAAAGTAGAGGGTATTTGGCTTCATTCTAATAGGTTATTAATGTAGTATTATCTATTCATTCAAAAATTGAGCTCGATCCTAAACGAAAATATCATTGAATCAATGAATCACTACCAGCCACATTAAATGATACATACTATCCTTCCTCATTTACTGCCATCAGGTCAGAACAGAAGGAAGCCGACACATGTGCTTCCTTCCTGGTCCGAGACGCTCGTAATCTATTCCACCTTGAAACTAAAATCTACTACTATTCTCTGGCCTGCTGTGGCAACAATGTGAGGCGTAACTCAAATCACTGGTTCTCATGTTCCGTGTCATTGTTGATCTTAATAAGGTTATATTTTGATACGGTGACTTCCTTCAAAAATACAAACATTAGAGCAACATTACAGCCATGATCAATAATGACATCATTTTAAAATTATAGAATATTTATTTTCTAGTATTGTTCGAAATGTGATTTCTAAATGAATCGTCCTGCAAATACGTCTGGCTACTTTGAAAGCCATACATCGGAAAATAAAGTGAGTAATAACATGAACATTGTTCAAATAAATGGGTTACAACTTTTAGGAGCCCCCTCTTCTTCTCATAATGATGAGATTGAACATCAAAGTTGCACTGATTTGTCTGCTCTCCATTAGTACCCTAACCATACTAGTTCTGTATTCTGTATGTGGCAATACAGAGAATAAAAACTGGAACAGATTGAGTTCCAAGTCTTTTGACCTTTCAATACCTGAAGAAATAGATTGTGATATCAACGGAGAATATGTTATTGCTTGCCGAAAGGAAGGAGATGAAGTTTACTTGCCATTTTCATTTTTACACAAATATTTTGAGATATATGGCAAACTGGCAACATATGATGGGCTTGAAAGGTTTGAATGGTCTCATAGCTATAGTAGAGTCTATCACCCCAAATCTAAGTATGATCCTAGAGGGGTTTTTATGTACTTTGAGAACTACAATGTTGAAGTGAGGGATAGAGTGAAATGTGTGAGTGCCATTGAAGGTGTCCCAGTTTCCACACAGTGGGAGAGTCAGGGTTATTACTACCCTACTCAAATAGCTCAGTTTGGGTTATCTCACTATAGCAAGAACCTAACTGAGCCTGAGCCTCGAAGGAAAACAATAGAAGACTGTGATAAGGAATTTGCCAAGTGGAGTGTATCTCCAACAGCTAAACTGGAGAATGCATATGATAAAAAGCTGGCAACTAATGTTTTGAAGTTCAAAACTAGTGATAGTTATTTGGATGGTGTTCATCTCAAGTTGGATCATGTTTTATACTTTGTGATGAGTGTGGATATTATGCTCAGTAGTAATAGCAGTTTTACTGTAACATTGCAGAATAGGGAAACCAAGAATATTTACTATCTCCATTATATCACCTCAGATATTTGGATTACTTCCCAGGTAAGGATATATGTTGATTGTAGTTCAGATTTTCCACAAGACAAGTTATTGTGAATGTCCTCAAGGCATTCCTAGGGACATTTGCTCAGTAGAGTAGTAGGCATTAGAGTCCCTGTATGTATAATTCCCTGTATAAATTTGTCAGTTTTGTTGTAATAAGAGTACGGACACTATGACAAGCAGTGGCGGAAGGCATAACCCCAAATGACTTGAACAAAGACCTGTTTCCATGCACTTCGGATCTTCTATCCTCTACTGCCGCGGTGAAGGGCACATCCATATATCTTTCTCTGTCTTTATTTTCATAAAGAAGTGGCGTCTCATCTCACTGGCGAAAAGGGGTCATATTTTGTAAATCAATTTGTTGAAAGTATTTCTCCATATACTTAACAAAGGGTATATGAACTTGTTGGTTAGAATGGGGGAAATGGAATAAATGAAAGGACTAGCTTCCATTTTTGCAATTCTCCATTACACAATTAGACATTTTAATTTTTGAAAACCTGAATTTTCAAATAATTTAATGTCATGTACGTTCATGAACTGTCAGTGCCCGCCTAATAGGTCGCGTGCAAGAACTGTCAGATGACTGACCCTGGAGGCAAAACATATTTGTTTACAAGTGATGGAAATAGTTTTCCACAATTATTTTGGCATATGAATCGTATTTTTCCGCTATTCATCAATTCGCTAATGCCATCACATTGTGCTGTTGTAAAATGCACAAAAACTGCAGCGGAAGATGAAGAAATCCGGATGGTACATTATGATTCAAAAGTAAGTACCTACTATAGTCACTCACATAGTTTTCATTTTTGAAATTTGGTTATTTCTCTGATTTCTCATCGGAATTCCTTCTGCAATAGGATCAGCTAATAGAAATATACCTGAAATTTCTAGAATAATGCAAGAAGATTGGATTCATGCAATCAATCGGTAGGACTGGTCTGACATGCTGACGATCGTGTGTGTTGTAGACATTTTCAATCTATTAGCAGCATTAGCTTGTATTGCAGAAGTGGCAGAAGGCAGAAGGAATTTTAATAAGGAATGACAACATTTCATAATGCTAACTATGTGAGATTACTATTTACCTGGAAAATCATTGTTGGATATCAGCCATTGAATGCTTGACCTTTATTGTTTACGATTTATTATAACTCTTTCTAATAATTAACAAACTAAAAAATACGTGATATCAATACTATTTTCGACATTTATATGACACTACTACTATGACATTTTTTCCGACTTGACTTTTGCCAGTTATACAATGTCCTCGATCTCGGTATGGCGAATGCATACACCACACTCCTCCCTCCTAGATTGATGAGTAATCCTCCAGATATCTTGGAGGACGTCTTTCTCTTGTAGGTCTAGGTGGAATGACTTCGGCTGTACTTGATGTGGGAAATCGTTCGCCGTCCTCGTGCTCCTCAGGCGGATTTTCTTTTTCAGCAGATATGTTTAACGGCTCGTCCTGATCGGTAATTTCTTCGGGGTTGCTCCGCGATCGAATTTGGTCTGTATGTCGACGGATTGTACGACCATCTGGTGTTTCAATGGCATAGCTCAATGGACCTGTGGGTTGTATTATTCTAGAAGGTATCCATTTCTGTCCAGGTGTGTATGATCTAGAATAAACTAAATCATCTGTATCGAAACTTCTTGGACATGGCATATTTTCTGATTTTTTCTCCTGCTTGGACTTCATCTCTTTGGTGAAATCTGGCTTAACTTTATCCAGTAGTGTATAAAGTTTTCTACCCATCAGTATTTCAGCAGGCGATTTCCCTGTTGAAGCATGGGGTGTAATATGCTGAGTCAATAAATACCTGGATAATGTTGTTGGTGTGTCAATGTCTGACATTTTCTTAAGTGCTGCCTTAACATTCTGCACCATCCTTTCGGCTTGACCGTTACTACTCGGATGATATGGTGCTACCAAAGCTTGTCTGATTCCATTAGCTGCTAAAAATTCTTGGAATTCTTTCGATGTAAATGCTGTACCATTATCACTTACTAGAACTTCGGGAAGTCCATGAGTTGCAAAGAGTTCTCGTAACACTTTCATAGTAGCACCCGTTGATGGACCACTTACCATTCGTACTTCTAGCCATTTCGAAAATGAATCTATCACAACTAGGAAGTATTTTCCATGTAATGGTCCAGCAAAATCTATATGTAATCGAACCCATGGTGCTCGTGACCATTCCCATGGATGTGTTGGAGCTTTGGCTGGCATGTGACGTTGTTCTTGACAGGTTGGGCAAGTACTTACCACTTCTTCTACTTGCTTGTCCAGATTTGGCCACCAGACATATGACCTCGCCAATGCTTTCATTTTCACCATGCCTGGATGTGATGCATGAAGAATATCCAGGATCCGCTTCCTCCCTCCTGGTGGTATGATTACCCTTGTTCCCCAAAGGAGACAATCTTGGTAACAAGAAATTTCTGTTTTTCTTTGTAGAAATGGTTGAAACTCAGGGGAGAATAGCTTGTTATCCGTTGGCCATCCATTCCAAGCCCATTGTAGGATGATTGATAAGATCTGGTCTTTAGCTGTTTCTTGTGCTATTTCCTTAGCAGAAAGGATTTTCTCTGGAATATGCTCCAGCATTAGTACTTCCGCAACAGGCGGCGCTTCTTCAACTTCTGTTTTCAAGGGCAATCTGCTCAGGGCATCTGCGTTACCAATCTTTTTCCCAGGAGTATACAGTAGATTATAGTTGTAGGCGTTTAGTGTTATGGCCCAGCGTAGCATTCGTGGAGAAATCACCTCTGGGGTTGCTTTATTTTTTCCAAATATTCCGAGCAATGGTTTATGATATGTGCGTAGCTCGAAAGATGATCGACCATATACGTAATCATGGAATTTTTTTACTCCCACGATCAATGCCAAAGCCTCCCGATCGATCTGTGCAAAATTTCTTTCAGAACTGGAAAGAGTTCTACTGTGATACGCCACTGGAATTTCGGTACCTGTCTCTGTGAGTTGGCTCAACACACAACCAACGCCATATGGACTGGCGTCACAAGTTAATATCAATGGTTTCATCTCATCAAAATGTCCCAATATTGGTTCACAAGATAACATATCTTTAATTCTGTTGAATGAGTTCTGTTGATCCTGATTCCAGTGCCAAGGAATATCCTTGTGTAACAGCTTGTGAAGCGGTTCGGCAATTGTTGCTTTGTCCTGCAGAAATACATGATAAAAATTGATAAGGCCTAAAAAAGCCTGTAGCTCTGTTCTGTTAGCTGGCGCAGGTGCGTTTCGGATAGCTAAAACTTTGTCTTTGGTTGGACTGATTCCTGCTGCACTGATTTCGAAACCAAGAAAAGTTAACTTGTCTGATTGAAAATTACACTTTTCTTTGCGTAGATGAAGACCGTCTTCTTGAAAACGCCGTAAAATCTCACGCACCTTTAACTGCAAGTCTAATTCTGATGTACCAACAACCAAGATATCATCATAGTAGGGTAAGACACCTTTTATTCCCGCTAATCGTTTGTCTATAAACCGCTGAAACATTTGGGGCGCCACTGACACGCCAAATTGCAAACGGTTGCATTTGAACGCACCACGATGTGTAATTATGGTTTGAGCTTCAGCTGCTTCATTGTCCACTGTTAATTGTAGATAGGCCTGTGCCATATCTAATTTTGCAAAAACTACTCCCCCTGCGAGAGCACTCAAAATGTTCTGCACGGACGGCACTGGATAATTGTCCAAGCGTAGAGCTTTATTAATTGTTATGCGATAATCTCCACATAATCTCACTTCATTATTGCTCTTCAACACGGTCACCACCGGAGTACTCCATTTTGGATGTGTAACGGGTTCCAATACACCTTCTTCTATTAACCTATCCAATTCCCAATCAATTCTTTCTTTCAGCGCGAACGGAACTTTTCTGGCTTTGAAGGCAATGGGCTTGACAGTGGAGTCCAAATCGAATGAGAGTGGTGGACCTTTGTAAGTACCTAATTTTTCACTAAAAACTTCAGGAAATTCAGATTCATAATTTTCTAAACTGCACTGTTTTATTCCTGCAATGGACAGTCCCAATGCAGAGAACCAATTTCTTCCCAGAAGACTGGTCCTGTCAGCTTTCACCACTATCAATGGAAGTACAGCATCATGATTTTGAAAGCTTACATGTACTTTACATTCACCAACTGTAGGAATAACACCATTCTGGTAGTCTTTGAGAACTGCAGCTGATTCCTTGATCTCTGGCATATTGTCTTTGAAATTGTCCCGAAATGTTTTTTCACTTATCACTGCAGTGGCAGCACCCGAATCAACTTCCATCTTGATCGGCTGTTTGTTTATCCTCACTGTCACCATGTATTTTTCCGAAACTCTGCTGATCTTGAGGTTATTCAGTGGTAAATCATAGTCTCCTGTATCACTGGAGCTGTGACACCCTGTATCATTTTCTGTTGATTGGTTATGTACCTGTCTTCTATTCATTTGACGCTTTTTTGCAAAACAGGCCTTTTCAATGTGTCCTTTCTTATTACAAAATCTGCAAGTGGTATCTGCGAAACTGCATCCATCTGCTGAATGCTGACCTTCACAACGGAAACATTTCCATTGACCAGAACTGCTTGATCTAGTATCGAAAGCTCGGGCAGTATAGTTGGGCTTACCTTTGTCAGTCTTGTCTGCTCTGACATGCCTCAGTGTTTCTCCTCTGCCTTCCCCCAACATGGTATTAGATTCCTTGAGAACCGTTAGACCCCGAGAAGCTGTCTCATGGGCTAGGCAGATGTCATACACATTTTTGAATCTCAAATCTTTTTCTGATAATAATCGACGCTGCAATGTGCTATCATTCACGCCACAAACAAGTCTATCCCTCAACATTGTTTCGATTATGGCATTGTTTCCAAATCCACAATTTTCAGACAGATGTCTGAGTTCTTTTGTGAAGTCAGCTATTGACTCTCCTGGTTTCTGATCTCTGCGATAAAACCTGAATCTGTGCACTATCTCCGGAGTTGTAGGCACAAAGTGAGTCTTTAATGTTGTGATAATATCTGTGTAACTCTTACTTGAAACCTTGTTTGGTACCAGTAAAGATCTTAGAACTTCGTATGTGGCAGGCCCACATAAACTGAGAAATACGGCTTTCTTCTTGGCATCGTCTGTGATGCCGTTTGCTTCCAAAAAGAAATCGATTCTTTCTTGATATGAATCGAACGATGCCGGATCGTTTACGTTGAATTGTTCAATGTTCCCAAGAGTCGCCATGATAAGAATGGTCTTTGTAGGTATGTTGTACCTAGTTACCTACTTTATGGTCGAAACGTCCCAGTATAATTCCGTTTATCCTCGTCGCCATAAAAGGTGTTGGATATCAGCCATTGAATGCTTGACCTTTATTGTTTACGATTTATTATAACTCTTTCTAATAATTAACAAACTAAAAAATACGTGATATCAATACTATTTTCGACATTTATATGACACTACCACTATGACATTTTTTCCGACTTGACTTTTGCCCGTTATACAATGTCCTCGATCTCGGTATGGCGAATGCATACACCACAATCATATTCCCTAGTCTCTTGCTGAATTTTTTGTGCATTGTACAACAGCACAATGCGAAGGCATGCTTGAATTAATGAATAACGCAACAAACACGATTCGTATGCCAAAATATTGTGAAAAACTATTTCAACCTTTTGATTCCTCTGTAACCAAATAAAAAAGTGAGGTTGTGTTTCAATAATTAACAGAAGAATGAGGTTGTGTTTCAATATTTTGCCTCCAGGGTCGGTCTTCGTGCACACTTATGCCTTCTGTCACTGCTTGTCATAGTGTCCCTACTCTTATTACAGCAAAAGTGTCAAATACATACAGGGACTCTAGTAGGCATAAACCATATTACAACTACAATCTGAATGAGTACTTTTTCCTGGACTTTTTCTGAATTGAATTCCATTGGATATATTTTGAGGTGGATTTGAATCAGCCAATCAAAATCAACACCTCATCATGACATGACACTAGTTTCTAATGAGATGTTTATAACTGCTAATACCAAGGCTAATGCCAATCAATCCTTCATTTGGAATTTTTGTAGGACAATAATGTTTATCATGGCATTGGATCATCTCAAGAATGGAAAAAAATAACTAGAGATCTGATTGTAGACCTCCAAAAGGGACTAAGTTTCCTTGACAAAGACAAATCTAAACATAAAATACCTAGATCCAAAATTAAAATTATTGACATTACTCTTAGAGGTACAGGAGCTATTGATAATCTGACTTTATCATCATCTGAACATATTCAGCAGTTTTACAATGCTGCTGAATGGTTTGTTCAACATCAAGATCCTGAAACTGGAGGCTGGGCAATACCAGTAAAGAGAAAACTTGCCAGTGGATTTCATGATTTGCAACCAGGTAGGTTTCACAATTACTAGTTTTATGCATGGTGGGATTATAATATGGTGTGCTACCATACATTAACACATCTTCCTATATGTCACTATGAGTAAAACAGTTGCTCCCAGTCTGAGCTGGCAGTTATCAATTCCTCCCAGTTATGCCCAGAAAAGATGAATTCAAGATACATGAGTAGCACACCATATTAAATTTCCACCATACTTTTTATTTAATTATGCATATTGCATATGGATGCAAATTTTCCAAATCCATTTCTCATAGATCAATCTTTCACTAAAAAAGTCAATAGCTATCAATATTTCAGTAACTTGTGATTCATTGAATCAATTATTTCCATTATTTTTTACAAAGTTATAGATCCGAACTTTCAACCATCATGTACACAAAAAAAATTTCAAATACATAGTTAAGAATCAAGGGGTGATGGTGGGCACATATTTGAAATTTTTCATAACATTTTAATACTTTTTCCGAGACTTTTTCATTGTATTCATATTCCTCAAGTACCTAATAGTTGCATTTTATTTGTTCAACTATTCCAGATGTTATATGATGTGATATGTCTATATCATAATTGTCATTTACTGATAACCTTTGAATTGCCAAAATTCAATTTCAAACTGTATCATAACTATTTTGATGTAATTTGTTAATATTCTGGACTTTGACACTCTTCTGAATCCATAAATAGTTCAGTGGCACAGACTAGATGTTAGAAAGACAGATTTATCCTACCAGTCTATATTCCAATGCGGTCACGTTGGTAGCACTGAAGAGAAAGATAGAAGAGGAGAGAAATTTCCTCTTTTTCACCAAGATAGGAAATAGCTCAATGGAGCTGTTCAGCTAGCTTTGAGAAAAAAAATGTCTTCCCCATCTGTCCTTGTCTTTACTGTTCCAACATGAAATAATGGAAATTTTTGTTGGCAACATTGGAAATGGAGAGAAATGGAAAAGAAGATCATATTAACCCATATATCTACTATTTCTATATATGGCGCATCGCCTTTACGATATCTCAACAAAAATGGGACCAAAATGAAAGGTACCTACTTCTTCAATCCATAAGGACAGAAAGTGAAGGATGGAAACTGCTGACGTGAGGATCAGATTTCAAGTTAGGTTAGGATCGTAACTAATTATTTGATCATAATAAAATATTAAAAATCATCAATTGTTCATAATACCACAGTATAATACCGTCAACTTCGATTTATTAATTTATAATGTGGTTAAAATATAGCAAAGCATAATGTCAGTAACTTTGAGGAACAGGAAAGAGCTATTGCAGATGATAATGAAATGAACTGCGATAATGATTTCATTCAGTTCGGTGGAATCTGTAAACTCACACCCTTTAATCCAACATTATTGCTTCAGATCTTGGTATTGAATATTGAATATAGGTCAGGGTTGGCCTAGGTATATGTATACTTTTCCAATGTGGTGAAAGTGGTCAACTAAATCTGTTCAGCATGATAGGATCACGTTTTTTATTAATAGGTAAAATGGCCTTTATTAGTACCGTACTACCTATGCATCAGACAAGATATTATTATCGAAAGCTTTCTCCTAAATCCTAATTTCAGTTCTATGATTCTCAGTTTCAGATCTAACCAAGATTTTGAAAATTCAAACTTACTAATGAAAAGAGGATTCCTGTCTATTCTTTACTCCGCAAATACTGCATTTCGTTTAAACGAAAACACGAACACTAAAGAACTGTACAACTAGAAACGCAAATATTCGAATTTCAATCACATACGCGCTAAAACCAATTTAAAAATTTTAAATTCATAGGCATATTGGTTTAACAAGTTTCGTATTATTTTTTCCCTACGTCGGCATCAACGCCTATTGGTCGATTTCGTTACCTATTCGTGATAGAAAATAAGCGTACGCCACCTATCGGAGTTCTTGAAAGCTGTCAAAGCGGCCTGTCTACTTTGTTTTCATTGGTTCACATTTGTTTTTTGTTTGTTCTTATTGGTGACATCAGTAAAACAAACCGCTCAGAAGTGTTCAAGCTGTTGTCGTGAGGTGGAGCGACGTGTTATTGTCTATCGCGAGAGGCAGAAGTTGGCCCCGCTTCGAGGAAGTACTAGATATATGTGTATTAACTTCAATATAAAAAGGTTAGAAAGGTGCTCTCCATTTCTTCTCATTTCCAGTGTTGCCAAAATAGAATTTCAGTTATTTTATGTTGGAACACTGAAGACAAGGACATATGGGAAGACATTTTTTCTCTCTCAACGCTAGCTGAACTGCTCTATCCAAGTTCAATGTCAAATGAGTACAACATATTTTAAGGTTGGTATTCGGCGATGAGCCAAGGTCATGCAATCTCCGTCCTTTCGAGAGCGTACCACCATTCCGGAGGTGACATTCGCTATTTGACAGCGGCCCTCAGAGGTTTGAAACCATTCAGAGTGCCCAGTACCAAGGGGGGAGTGAGAGCGACCTTCATGAACACGTACCACTGGTACGAAGAGTACCCTACCACCCCAGCTTCGTTCGTCTTGAACGGGTTCATTTATTCTTTGTTGGGACTCTACGACTTGATTTCTATCAGCCCGCCAGGACAGGCAGAAGTAAATATTTTCAAAAATAGTTTTGGGGTGGCGATCTTGAATCGACTTTTTCCGAAGATCGATCTTCTCATCTGAAACAGAAAAATCGTTTTATTTATCGATCTTCTTTATAACGATTTTCTAGAGAATCTTTTTTTAAAGAAAATTGATCAGAAATGCGAACATTCCATAGTTCCAATAACTATAGTTTATTTAGTGTTGCAGGGAGTCTATTTTCTGTTTCTGTGTTCATCACAGGTGGGGTTCATTCAGTTCACAGTATTAAATTTCATTTTATTGATGAGTTTGACGAGAAAAGGTGGAACCAACGTTTTTTTTCACTAATTTATACCGAGTGACAAGGTTGGAACATTTTTTCGTCTTGATTTTAACATGGATATGTTCCATTCACTCTACTGATCCAGATGGATTCCAGAAATCGATCATTTTTCGAAAGATCGCCATCCCTAGTTGACACTGTTGACAGTTTGTTTTCATGACAGTCCGATTATTTTCAGGAAGCCGAGCTTTTGTATAACCAAGGCATGCTTTCGCTTAGGAACATGCTGACGCTTTTCGATATGGGAAGCGTGACTTCCTACGATTTGCGGCATTTCACCCTCGGCATCGCACCCAACTTGGCCAGATGGGACTATCACGTGACCCATGTCAACCAGTTGCTGCTGTTGGCAACCATCGAGAACGAGCAACTGTTCAAAGCTACCGCCGAAAGGTGGATAGGGTACATGAGCGGTAAAAGGGCTGATCACAACTGAAACTGAGATTGTTTTTTTTATAAAAAAATTTACTTGGAAGATTCGAAATGAATCAAGTATTTTTAGGAGCCAGATATCCTGAGTTGTGTTTCGGTGAGTTTCTTCCTGAGTTGGGATTGGACAGATAGGTAGGTGAATGACGGCCAAGAAAAATGTAACGAAAAATCATCATCATCACAATATCGTGTTTTCAGGTAAACCACATTGGTAGAAACGAATTTTGAATAACATAAAACATGTTTTCTCAAAATGAGGCAATAGGCTATTGAAACAGAAGAAATGAATTTGAGGTTAGGTAGGTAGAAAATTACGAAAGGATCGCGCCAGTACGGTAAAATGCGTGTGGCTGCTAGCTGATATTCACATATTATAATGACTGCTGATTGGGAAACTGTCTTGTCCAATCATTTTTGGAGGATGATAACAAAAGTTGGGTGAGTGAAAAAATAAATACCGAAAAACGAAATACACAGACACCTAGATTTGTTCTACCCATTTATTGTCACCCCTCTTGACGAACGTGAAATGAGCACTAGTTGATTAGTAAAATATACCAATAATTAGGTAGGTATAATAATTTTCCATATCCGATGAAATCTTCCATACCTATACCGTTACTGACGTTTTGAAAGGACCAACCAAATACACTGTAAAATTTGTAAATAACGTAGAGTCAATAAGGGCAAGCAAAGTCCAGTCAATGGAGCCTTGCTCTCTATAAATATAGGATGTAGAGAATGTTCGATGATGCTGACTAGAAATTTCTTGATATTTGATTTCTATGATGCAAACTTTTTCTGAAACATGATATTGTAACCAATTGTTTATCATATTTTTTCCGTAAAAGGCGAATGTTTATATTTACCTGCCTTTAATTTTTTTTCAGGAAGGATGAATATGAAAATGTATATATTTAATGTTTCTGGAATAATTATTACAATCATAGGTTATCGTTACTGGAGCAGAATTGTAGGTACTATAAAAAATTAGAAAAGTAGCTGTCTGCCTCTGGGAACATAGCATCTAATTTTGGACACCTCAACGTATTTTCACACTGCTGAAATTACTTGTCTGATTCTAAGCTGTATACCTTGAACTCTTTCAGACATTGTAGGGAATTACATTACTGATCATCATCAGGGATTGTTCAAGGATGATCAGCATTAAAATTCATAAACGAAATGCAATCTATCCACTTCAAGAGCTTATTAGAGTAACATAACCTAGTAGTAGGTGAATAAAATATAGGTTGCTTTCTCCCTCATGTAACCTGCCCTATGTGTGTTCTGTCCCTCAAAGCGATAAATTTGTATATTTTAGGGCTTTATCAGAGACTTACATTAATACAGGGTTTATTTTATGGATATTGACATGCTTTTTCACTTCTGCAACTTGACCTCAGATTTCAATAAGTTGAAATAAAGCTCCGTAATTGAGTGGGTTTCACTCAAATTATATATATCGTATCAACACTTGAACGCTTAACTCGTCGATTTGATTGTTAATAATTGTTAATCAGGTTTGATTGAATTTTTGATCTGGGTTTGGATGTATGACAGTAAAATTCAAAATGACGGGGGTTGGCCCGATTGAAGTGAAGAACAATATTTCTCATGTGTTTTTTTTACAGGGGTTGATTTAACAGTATTCAAGAAGCTCCCTACTTTATTATTTTTTTATTATTAGGTGTTGAAATAGTTATGAGAATTATTCACTTTTTAGAATAGTTCCAAATTGGGTTTAATTTATATTTTCAAGGGGGGGAGTAATCAGTTCTTCCGATTTTTGTTTTTGAATATTTTATTGTAGGTACGTACGTACCTATTGAAATCTTGCCTACGTTGAATAAGTAATATTTTCCATGAAATCCCGTCCCTATGTTATATGAGAAGCTGGAAACAAGAAAGTACACTAGTTGTGTACCTATACCTACTAGGTTTTATTGTTTTTCAAACTAGTTTGTGATATTTTATGGTTATAATACTTAATTTTTATTGACTGTTATAGAAGTGTTGTTATTATATGAAACAGTTTAATTTGATGTGAACATCTTATACCTGCTGTACTTATATTTCCATTGGATTTATATTTTCAGTCGAAACTGTAGACATAAGTCGGACAAAAAAAAAACATCTTTTTTTATAGTTGGTTTTGATCATTTAAAATCTAAATGATTCTCTTGAAAACCTTTGGGGATCCAAATTCAAGTGACTGTGACAATAATTATAGGGAAATATATTACTTATCTTCAAATCTGTTATTTTTTTGTACCTTTCAAACACGACGGAAATGTTGATTTGAATGAAAACTATGTAGATTACAAAAAAATTATTTTATTGTAGAACCAATAAATTACATTGGAGAGTGATGTCTATTCCTAAGAACAAATATCACAAGACTAGAGCTCCAACAAAAGGTACCCTATCATTAAAACTGACCCATACTAATAGCTGCAACATTCATCGTAGTCTTAGTCCTCATTAAATATTTGAATCTTCTCAAATTGAGTTGGTTTCATCTGTAGAATGAAATTCCTTGTTTGTTGATTCTAAGGCGGGCCATAGTTCCCTTATATTTGACTTCTTTGGCTTTGACCCACCTGTGGGATCCTCAAGGAAGTTTAATCTTTTTGTTCTCGGAACTTTCCATTTCTTTTTTCCTCAGGTATTTGGAATCATCAATTGCAAAACTGAAAAAGTATCAATGCTCCTCATTACTTACCCAATCTACGTTGAATTTACTGACCTATAAATGAGAACTACTAAAGGTGCTGTGGATAAATGCCATAAAGAATGATAGTCGAATACGTAAAAGAAAGGTGGCCTATCAATTACTTCTAACAGCATCACAATTCCGGTAAGGGCAACGAATATGGCACATTTCCAGACATATCTTTGCCTACTTCTGTTATAAATGCACCATCCAAACCAACATATAGCTGTGAAAGTACCTGAAATAAGGTTAACTGTATTTTCACCAGGTGCAATATAAGATCCTGTTTGATGATGATGACTTTCCTTCCAATATCGCGAATTCACCAAATCATGAACATCTTTTGTAGATTATATGGCGAATGCCCGGTATATTCGAAATAAATTCCGTTCTTGGGATGTTGAAAATGTATTTCTACCTATATTATGACTATAGGTATTCGCCTCCCATTCTTGGAAGATTGAAATTAAGTATCTTGAAAAATCAATTCAATGACAAACACGAAAGTATACTAACTACAATTATTCTGAACTTGATTGAAATCTTGAAAATCTTGGGAAACATTTATATATGCAAAAAATCACCTAATTCCGAATCAACAGGATTGGATTAATTTTTTTCATTCTCCATCTCGATTAAATAGTGACTTCAAATCAACTACGAATTTTGGAACGTTCAATGGGCCCGGTATGTGGAAAATCTTGATTTGGAAGGAAAAACGAGTTATACTTTTTCATGTTGACCTCACCGTTTCCGAGTAAATAATTATTACGTTCGCAAAAATGCTGTTTAGATGTGCCTGTTTTTCTGAAACCCTTTATAGACATCTTATGAAAATCCAAATATGTGGTTTTGAAACCATAAAGAACAATATTATGAGGTCAGTTTTCCTGTGAAAAAATGCCTAATATATGATTTAATAAAAAACTGACCCCTATTCATTTCAATAAAAAATGCACGGCACTGTCTAAAATGATGTTTGTCTTTGAAGAACTGGTCATATTGATGATTATTCATACAGATACGAATTTGGTAAAGATCGCACGACTGATACCTGAGATATGTATTTTTCAATGATTAAGATTTTACTTATCTCTTTGAAGATTTCGTTCGCGAATATTGATGATTCTTGACCATTCTACAATTCCTTGATAAATCTCACAAATATCCGCAAATCTTGGCAAAAATCCTGAGAATTCCAAATCTTAGTCCCCGAAAATCCTTTCAATCATATATTATGAATCACACAATAGTGAACAATGGAGTGTCTGCTATAGAAACAATTCTTACCAACTATGACGTTGAGCTCCATATTATACCCATAATCGATCCTACCCAGGCTCAAATATCCCACATGACTAACTAGAAATGCAATGAAGGACATAGTAAGCCCAACGAGAGCAAATCGCGGCACCTTATTTCTCAGTAACCTATAATGAAGGGTTTGATGAATTCATCAAATTATGAAGGTCTCATAGTCTGATTACCTTATCATCATTACATAACAATTCATTAGCACCATAGAAAAGGCACAAGCATAGTCTAAGATTTCAGTCAACAAAAAATCTCTGAAATGGAAGACAGCCGACCAAAACCAAGCATGTATACTGACCTAGGACAAAATATAATCATTAAGATTTTTTCAACATATGGGACTTGAAACACCAAAGTGTAGCAAAATATGATCTTACCACAAAAAATGAGTGCCATAACCACGTAAGAGGACTATCTGGCCTAACCTCCTTTCGATATGTGCAGATCATTTTCAAATGAATGATTCCGTTCAGTATCGAAAAAATTACTGAGGCTGGTTCTTGCATACCCATAAATCGGATGAAGGGCCACTATAACGAATGAATACACAATTGTATAAATACGGAACTTATTTAGAGCAATGTGCAATACTTTTCCATGAAACTGTGGGGTCCTCCACTTTCGTTCATGAAAGGCATCTACGGTCTTCCACATACAATTGTACCTGCATTCATCTTCACATGCCCATCGGGTATAATACAGAATAGTAGGTTGTTCGTAGTTCTTGAATCCAAGACCGTCTGAAGGAAAAAAAAAACACCGTAGTTGGTTGTCCTAACCTAATAGTTTGCAATTTACCGACCATCTGTGCAGTTCAGTAGACTGCATTTTTCAAAACATCTTTGGTAATAAGGCGAATAATCACCTGATGAAGAAATCGAACAATTTATCAGAAGTGCAAAGAATATACAATGAACTAGCAATGATTCCATGTTTTGCATCAATTATAATACAAATAATCATATCACAACAATCGATTTAAATATTCTTTGCCAGTGCTGCCACCAGCACCACCCTTTCGAATTAATTATGAGAAGTGTCAGAATCAGACAAATGTCAAACGGGGTTCACAAAAGTATGTGGTTATGTTGTAAACATTTTTATTGATTTCACTTTAATAAAATACAATGAATGTTTATAATGAAACTAGCTATGTACTACCGAGATTGAAAAAATAGTTCGCAACGAGTTATCAAATATTCACTTCCGTTTAAAAATCTGTTATTGTGGCTTGTGTCTATTGTGTCTATTTGTGTTTTTGTTGTTTGTCAGAACAATAACAAAAATATCAAGTCTCCACAAAATGATACCGCCTGTTGCTCCTGGGCAAACAGAAGAAAAACAAAATATGGTTGGATGGGTAAGAAACTCAATTCTATTGTTATTATATGTATGCCAAACTAGAAAAAGATTATGTATGTCTATATAGATATATTCCAATGGCCAATATCAAGGCCATTTAGTTATCTCATTTGTGTGGATCAATAATTCATCAAAAATATAAGTTATTCAACAATAATTATGATTTTCAGAAAAATACTTTCAACATGCGCCAGATAAGTCTCATGAACTTGGCAGCCAGTCAACTGGGGGTGAAAAATGGTGCAAAATCTGTTATTCCTGCTTACAGAAGAGCATTCAGTATAACCAGTCCTTCAAAGTCCTTGGACATTCTCCGCAAGAACCTTCAAAACGCCATCAACAAAGATATTGATACTGTTTTGAAAAAATACATAGATGTACAAAAACTATCACCCAAGTTGAGTTATATGAATTCATCCTGATTTCTTGTAGAAATTCTTTCAACCAGCTATCAACAACATAAAAAATAATGTGGGAAAGGATAGTGTGCGTGAAGATCATGTGAAAGAAGTGTGTAAGCAGATGTTAGAAGAGGCAAAATTGATGTACAAAGTCAGTCCCAGCTCCAGAGATAGCTCACCATATGAATACTGTCACAGTGAAGCTGAATCAGAAGCTAGTTTGACCGATGGAAGACTTGGAAGATTGGTTGGTATAAGTGTAACTCAATGAATTACCTTTGGCCAACAAAAGCTACAGAACAACTCATTTTCTATTTTCTAATGTGATATAAGAATCAAGAAATCCCATTGTTCAAGTAGCCATATACAAAGTATAATGTCATGTCAAATGTCAGAACATGGGTAACACAGAGGCGCCTAGAGACAGGAAGCAACAAATAACCATCGCGGTGGGGAAACGTTGCAGCGCAGGTACAGCGACTAAATTCAAACTATAATTTTCGAGTAGTAAAAAAAAAGAATGATGGAAGTAAGATATGGTGCGCGCATTCGGCCATTATCACGTATTGAAAATTTCAGAAAAATCACTCGACCGCCTACTATGATTTCTCTACGTCACAACGAGCGAAACGTTGATTCTACATTTTTCCGCTAGATGGTCATGCTGCTATTGCTGCTGTGACGAGTGGAAATAAAATGGCAAATGGCATTTTAGGTACGCGGAACATATGTAACAGTGGGATTATTCAACTCTCAATTCGAAAAATCTGCTACAATTTCAAAACTGACAGATGTTATAATTGTGCAATGTCACCATCTATCAGAAGATCGACGGAACCATTGCTCTCGCTGTTCTCGAGAGGTCGAGTAAAATTTCTGAAACAAAAGCGCATCAGTAATCACACCATATCTTACTTCCATCATTCTTTTTAGGAAGAAGGTTCACTTAAGCCGAGTAAAGTTAGTTTAAAAATGTAGTCTTATGCAGAAGGAATATTCTCCTCCCACCCTGAAAAAAGTACTGTGGCATTTACTGTTAGTGATAGTGATTACTAATAATAATTATTATTGTTTCGCTGCTGTAACGGTTGTTCCGCGCTGTAACGTTCCCCCACCGCGATGATTATTTGTTGCTTCCTGTCTCTAGGCGCTAGTGTTCTACACAAAGAACGAGTCCATATAAATAGAAGAAGAAGAAATAACATTTGACGTCTGCTTGACAGCTTCTCAATATTTTGTGAACTCTCTCTTCTGTCAGTTATTCGCGATAGAAAATATCACGTCGCCCCACCTGACGACAAAACTTGAACCAATGAAAACAAAGTAAACATGCCGCTTTGACAGCTTCCAAGAACTCTGATAGGTGGCGTACGCTTATTTTCTATGGTGAATCAGTATACATCATAATTGTAAATTTTACTAGCGTGAGTCAATGAACTCGATACAAACTATATTGAGTTCATTGGCGTAAGTCCATCTCTCAAATGGTTCAAATTTCGAATCCTCATCGAAACTTGATAATAGTAATGATGATGAAGTAGATATAAGTGTAGTTATGGAATAATTTCGAAAATAGTTATTTGTAATGCGAAATGCCTTTATAGCAAACCGAAAGAGAAGTTATCGCTGAGGCCGAGATAATCTAGAGATCGCTAAAATGTGGCCATTATATACACAATATTTTTGAACTAGATAATTAGAAATAAGTATATTATAGCTTCAGAATCAACAGCAGTGCGATCAGAAAGACGAAAAACAGGGTACTTTCGATAATAGTCGTTTTGGCGCCACTATCCCAATTTCAGTCGCCAAGAAACATGTTGGATGGTTTGAGAGCCCCGTCAATCACGACTGCAAACGTAAAGAATCTTACATGGATTCGGAATTCGCCATTACGCATATAGCCCCGATGGCCAATCGGAACAAATCCATCATCCACCTTGTGGAAGAAAAACTCAAAACGAAACTACCCCTTTCAAACAACAAACAATGTTATATAATAAATAACCTAAACTTTCCTAAACGATAGCCTTGAGGTTTGTCGAATTCTACAGTGTAACGAAAAGCACGTGACTTCGACCGAGTAGGCCTCTTTCATATTTTTTGAAACAAAACAATGTCGAATTTCGAAATAAATTGTCATCAAAAGTTTTCTATATGAAATACACACTGTATTTCAAAAATCGTATGTCTATAAAACGGCCCATCTTGGGAATTGTTTGCATCTTTGCCCAGAGAAATATTGCTAAAACGTTTTTTAACATCATGGTAGGACGGAATTTCCTTCCGTGCAATCCGAGAGTTCCGAAGAGTAGTTTCGATGAAAGTCGCTCTGGCGCCACTATCTCAATTCCTGTCGAACATTGAATTCGGGTTAACACGTTGACTGCCAGGCTACTATTCACACTTTTGGTATTGGAGCCGAAGCAAAATTCAAAAATTTTTCCTAGAAACCATCAGTGACTCTAAGTAGCTGAAGCCTACAGAAGATAGAACATCGTTGAAATTTTTGATAATTGGGACCCTAGATCCAAATAATCCAAAAATTTCAGCTCGGTCTTATAGTCGGTCGGTCTGGCAGCTTGGTCTGGCCGACTTCGGCCTCGGTCTAGTGGTCTAGTGCTGTACAAAATACTTCTCTCAACTTTCTTTTTTGAATGTGTCATGTTTGTTCTACACTGGTGGGGGAAGTCGCTCATTGTTCATTTGATGTTCGGTGGATGTGTAAGTGATATTTGTTTAGTTTGGAAAATGAGCAGATTTCGAGATAGTATAAATTCACTGAGTCAGAGGTAGAGATCAGCCCCCAATTTGAAATGGATAAAGCACATTCTGTCAAGTATATCCTGAAGAACCAGTATTTTTCCTGAATTGTTACAAAAAATTTCATAAGAATATATACAGATTACGTATTCTTGGAACACTTATATTCGATAATATGTACTAAAAAAAATATGTTACATTTTATCCACTGAATAAACGTTTATTTCACTGTATCGGCCTACCAAACATTCTGTGTACATACTGATTTTCCTGCCACGCCGACTCGGTCTGTGTGTCTGATGAAGATAATTTGCAATGCCAACTTGTCACTGAAGCAGTCTCGGCCACTCTCCGCAATATTATTGACAATAATTCAGACCGACGGCTTCACGAGTCGTTCAATTGACTCGGTCTCATAGGTATCAACCTAAATCCCGGTCTATGAGACCGAGGCGGCACGTCAGGATATTTTTTTCTCGGTCCTATAGTCCAAAATGACAGTCAACGTGTTAATTATAACTGAGATGGCTATATCTTGGTAGAGAAAACACACTCCACGCCTTGAAGAGGTGTACCTACATAACGGTAGGTTCTATACATATACGTATTAATAATCAATACGGATAATCTCTATCTCCCAGGTAGCACATGACGACTATATGACGTCTAATTGACGGCATCACATTCGGCCAAAAGACGTCTTTATTTCAACAAATGCGACGTCCAAATGACGTAAGTAAGACACATCCAAATGACGTCATATTTCAAAGTCTTTTAGACGTCAGTATGTGTTTTCAAATTGGACCTTAAACTGACACTACTGACCAATTTCCGACGTCAATAAGACGTCTTTTTTTTGTATAAAATTTTGAGGTTAATGGTTATAATCTTGTGAGGAAGATAATCATTTGTGCTATAAAATAAATTTGCTACGAATGAAGATTTTATTAACAAGATAGTAATGTAAGGTATTACATATAGTTGAAAATTTTAGCGTCGATGGCTCCCCTTCACAGAGAGCTCTTTTGTATGTTTTGCTGTCTTTAAATGGCGGCCAAAACACTTCCTCTTTCAACGGCGTCAGCCAAGTTTTGTGAACAACAGCTACACTGTTGCTTCCACTGTCATCAAATTGTATTACACAATACATCCTGAATACTTTCACGTGAAAAACAGACTGTATAGAAATACCACTCAAACACTCAATATTTTAACATTCTTAACAAATCCAATGGCACAGACGCCGTTCACAAACAACACCCATTCGAACATGGACGATGGACAATGAACATGAACGGGAACGCACCATGCACTATGCAAGCTTGACACTGAATCACAGAACGGACCGCTGAACGGCACTAACGCCACTAACGGCAGTCGCGAGATGGTCGCGAGTCGCATACACAATTTCTTCGCGTAATTACTTGATCGCCATTGGCCATCTGGTCGGTAAGTGAGAATTGTCTTTGGCGCTAAATTTAAACATTGAAAATCAAGGGAAGCCTATGGAATAAAATACATTTTTATCATACATTTATACAGTTATTTAGATAAATTAATTGATTTATTTTATAACTTCGTTTTCCTATACATACATGATAATGATAATAATAATTATAATAATAATAATAATAGTAATAATAATAATGATAACGATAATAATACCCAAAAAAATATGAAGACCATAGATTGACGTCTATACGACGTCAAACAGTGGCTGTCCATAAGACGTCACATTAATGACGTCCGCATGACGTCATAATTTGGTCAAAAGACGTATGAGACCAAAAAAGACCTTAGATAGCGGTCCTATAGACGTCACATTCGTCAGTCTGGCTACCTGGGCTGTTTCCATAGCGAAACATGAAGCCGATTTTTGAAGACAAATGACTATCCATAAGGAAAAGTGAGATACTGCGCATGATCAAATACGCAAGTTCAAATGACAATCATTCTCATTCATTCTAACCTAACTCATTATTTTGAATATTTTGACATGAGTGACATGACATTTATGGACTATGTTTATGTTTTATTATTAGGATTTTCGGGATATAATTCATTATTTCAGGATGATTTAATGATTATGAATGATACAGGACATGCTAGTGAAAATATAAATTCTGAAAGAATGGAATCATTTATTTATTTTTGTCCACAGGTCTTCATTATCTTGGTAGGTAAGTTCTTCAAATGATGAAGTGTTACAAAATTACCTTTGAGAATATCAAATACTAATACTTACATTTGGTTTCCCTATGATATGTTCAACCCATTTTCATTATCCCATTGCCTCAGTAGGTACTCGCTTTTCAATATAAAAATCAGGAATAGCATAAATGAACCATACTTAGAACTGGAAATCTAACAATAAACACTGATAATAAATGAACAATTATATCTTTTTAAACACCCTGAAATCACTGAATTTATCGAAATCTATGGATACCACTGATGAAAAATCGCTAATAAACATGTCCGCGAAACGTAAACAAAAACAACAGAATGTCATGACCTTTTGAAACGATCAGACACATACTGCTTTGATTGAAAGGCTAGTAAACGTCATTGTCCACCGAAACGCATGTCTTTGATGACTACTATAATAGCGCATGCGTATCATGCCACCAAATCCTTATGGATATACATTTGTTTCATATTTTTGGCTTCATCCTGGCACCCGTTATGATCCGTATTGTTTATTAATACGTATATGGTTCTATAGCTAGTGGTGGAAAAACTTGTTGCACGTTTTTAGAGCCCCGTCAACTACTACAAACGTAAAGAATCCGACACAGAGTCGGAATCTGCCATGACTCATATAGCCCCGTTGGCCAAACGGCATCGGAACAAAACCCACCATTCCACGGACTACAGCAGCTGCAAGTTGTCTCTGAAGAGGGATGGGCCCAAATGGAACCCGGACCGATTGAAGAGCAACACCCTGTTCATCATGGGGGCTCGAGCGAATAAGGTCCTCGGATATGGACAGACCAGAGGAAGGTTGTATGTCAGACATCCAAATTTGGTCAGGTAGGTAACAAAGATTTATGGAAAATTAGCTATGATATCTAATCGAAACGGAAAATAAATATCGGTAGGTAACAATATATTCTTCTTCAAAGGTTTTTGAGAAGAATATGTCTCCCATAACGAGTTAGGAATTTCGTTCAGGTCTTCTTTCTGGGAGATATTCACAGCTTGAAAATTTGAGAAAATCAATAGAGGATGGTGAAAGAAGTTGGAGGTATATAATGAACAATTATATTCGAAAATATCTCCATTGATATCTCAGGAAACAAAATCGTCAAACTCAGATATTTCATATGATAAAGCCATTTTGATCATTTATGAAATCAAATAAGGTTCAAGAAACTTTTCATCACTTTCCCTACCAGATCGATGAGGTTATAATACTTATGTATTGCTCTAAAGGCTGTGTCTCACGGTCCAACAATTTGATCAAACTACAGATCTGTGATGTCATCAGCGACGTCACGTCAAACAGCAACTTGAATTTAGAACTTGTTCTAAATATTGGCCATGTTGGATCAAACAATAAGGTTTGGATGTTCATTTTCATGTTTTCTTCATTGATTATTATTTTATATCTTAGGAATTAACAAGATCGACACACTATCGATCTATCGATCATTAATATTATCAATCATTCAAAAATGCATGTCCTGGTAATTGGACTGAGAACCATTCCGGATAATTATAGGAATATTTTTGTCTTGCTCCGATACCAAATTGATACTTGGTTGGCTCATAGATCTAATTACACGTTGACTAGAGAATTTGTTATGATCTGACCTCATTTCTGCAGGAACATACGTTCTCGCGCATATATGGATTGATAAAAATCTGAAACATCCCCCATTCATTCTGAGGTAGTTTTGAAATTTACTATATGGGATATCTTCCAATCTGACTTCATCAAAAATCATAGGTAGAAGACTCCTCTACCAATATTTCTTCTTTGGAGTCATTATCTTGTATACATTTTGTCCCTCTTTTCCTTTGAAATCACTTTGTATTACAAATACAACATAAACTATTTACCATGTATTACATTTTTATTGAATTTACTTAACCAATATTTTTGTTCAAAAATCTTCAAATCGTGTGACAAAGATTTCTTGACATTTCAAACCATATGAGTCAAACAGGCAAGAATGACGTCACATCAAACAAATTTGATCAAATTGTTTGACCGTGAGACACGGCCTTAAGCAGTCTCAATTTTCAACAACTTTTAAAAGAACACAATTCCATATCTCCAATTGAGAGTAATTTTGTGTTATGAAACGATGTCTGTAGGCACGAACAATAGAAAAAGCAACAAGGAACTTGATAATACTTTCTGTATTACACTTCTACTGACAGTTTTCTTGATTTACTGGAAGTTCGAGAGAAAGATAACAAAAATCAGCTTCAACAGGTTGAGGAACCAAATCCTTGAAACATCAAATTATCATAATCATTATTTTCATATATAATACCACAAGTGATAATATTTTGCCGGAAATATTCAGTGATTGTTACGACAGCTTGTTGCCTAGTAATTTCGTGAATGACATTGTTATCAAAACTACGAACCGTATGCGAGTAGTTTTGGATGAATGTCATGAGCGAAATTAGAGCAGTATGTTGTTCCCAAAAGAGTGTATACAATTACTATCCAATTCAAACAAAATAAATTGAATTTATGTGACATGGAATAATTAAAAAAAATATATCGTCGCCGAGGGCTCGAACTATCCACCTTCGTATCATCGCGCAACAACCCTAACAATTGCGCTACATCAGCTAGTAATTATATCAGTCAGTCACATAATAACTTGAGTAATTGAAGAAGATTACTTCAAAACGGAATTTGAATTCTATTATTCTATTATTGTTCTAAATTACACATGAAACGTCCAGCCAGAATAACATTGTCTCGTCTTTCGTACAAAATATCTCACTAACGGGAATTATAAGTAAATAAAATAAAGTAGGAACTTAGGTTATTGTCTCAGATTTGAATCCAAAGCAATCTTGACCAGACACGATGTCAAAATTTTATCGCTGATAAACGAGGTTAGTTGGTCACGTGTGGTTTAATTCGGCTTCTGTATTGGTAGAGCAAGTCCGATAAAATTTAATAAACGAAAAATATCGCTAGAATACAGAAGAAACCATGAAAATGGTCGATTCTGATTGGTTCTCGAGATCAAGAGTGGAATAGTCATCATAAAATATACTCTATGTCATTATTTCTTACAGGTATTCAGGAGACCAGGAAGACAAAGAATGGCTGGCCTCGAAGAATCTAATGCCTCCCAGCGGTGGAAAAGCATACTTGATGCTCCTCGAAGACATCAAAGAGCTGACGGAGAGCGAGGAGTACAGACACAGCCCTAACCTCCAACTCCTGGAGTTGAAAGGATTCGAAGTACCGCTGTTCCTCCTACTGAAGATCAAAAACTTCATCGAATACGTACGGAACGAAAGAAAATTACTCGCTCACGTGGATTTGTATGAGGAAAGCCATTCGTCCACGCCTCCTTCTAATATGGCGTTCGATTCGCCGCTGTCAATCGATAATACTGGGGACAATTGCTTCAAAACGGATTTTTTCAACATGTCCTCGGATATGAGCAATAACATGACCAGTTCCGTCATTTCTAGTATTCTAGCTGGCCATTTGTCCGGCATCAATAGTAGTGATAACTCTCAAGATTTTTGAAGTTAGGTTAGGTTAAATTTTTAATTGATGTGTGCTGCCCCTTGGCTTATTTACCGCTTTTATTTATTGTCGCATTGTTGTTCACGTTGAACGAATAAAGTATAGTAGAATTTGATTGCGGTTTTATTTCGAGGGGTTTGTATAAACTTGCATTAACGTTTAATGCGCGTTCCTTTACACCCTAGACCAGAACCATATGTTAGAGTCAACGCAAATACCTACGGCCAATAGAACTATTAGGTCTTAGTGAGTCAATTTGATAATTTTAATATTTTACAAACACGCTCTTCATCAACCTAGGTCCTAAATCACTCAAACCAGATTGCCAATCACATTTTTACTTACCTTTGTAATGTGAATAAAGAGTCCACGTAATTTAATCTTCATGAACAAAATTTTTTCCCGAAGTAATTTATTGATAAAAATACTGAAGAGGTATTTACTGTTGAGGCCGATAGTGACTCGTAATTTCAATTATGTTTTTTTCATGATAATTTTCTGTAGACTGAACACCGCTTCGGATAATATGTTAGTTCCTGAAGATTCCATGACGGAGAGACTCTTTTGTGAAATGTCAAAGGATATATTGGTAAAACTGCATTTAGCATGCGATGGTTTTTTTTTCGAAAATTTTTTTTGGTACTCACGTATTTTTGTCTGAAAAACACGAATTTGACAATGATAATGTGAACAAACCACTATTTATCGAGATGTATCATAAGAAAGTTCGAAATTTCGACTCCTTTTTCCCCTTGTATTAGATGCATTCACAGGTACTTGCTCTTCTTATTTCATCATGGGACACTTTATATACTCATGATGTACTTCAATGACACATTTTTATACCGAAAATTCAACAGGAAATATGATTTTTATGGGGAGTTTTTCATATTCAGTGAACAAACGTACCAGATGTCGGCCATTTAATTAATAGTCAATCCAAAGTTGTTTTTTCTTGTCGAACCGTGTTCAAGTTTAGTTTTGAACCGTTTTCAAGCGTGACGTTGAAATTTATCTCATTCCAGACTATTTTGAAATGGGAGCTGTCATAAGTCATCAGATACATAACAAATAACCTGAAAACCGAAATCAATGAATAAATTTTGAAATTGATGATTATCTGTGAGAACTTGAGAAGTGTAATAATAATAATAATAATAAATTTTCTTCTCTCTCTTCTTATGTTGATACATGAAATGAAATGACGTCAGAACAAAAGGATGGAATCACTAAAAGTGGCATTTGTAATAAATTGATAATGAGCAGATGAGGCAAGGTGTTTCACAAATGCTGAACCAGTCAAGAGAAATAATAATAATCTGGAAATGATTATTCTTCACGAAAATTTCCAGCATCCTTAAGTGGAAAATCATGTACCATACCCTCATCACACTCCATTTTTTAAGCTATATAGTCAATTTCTCAAAAATATTTATAGCCTCAAAAGCTCAAATCATCAAACTCCGACGTTTTTCCACTCCTCCACTGGTTTTCCTGGTTCGAACACGGTTCGAACCGTTCATTTTGAAGTTTTTGAACCGGAATGAATCGTATTACTTGGTGACGTCATAACTTGCGCAAGAAAATGCTTGATTTCAAATCGTTTTCAACACGGTTCAACAAGAAAAAACTAAAAACAACTCAAATAGGAGATGTCGAATGTCAACAGAGTGCTTTTGAATGACATTACACACGCCATTATTTGAAATGATATTCTTTTTCTCAATATGGATAAATCACAAGAAAATCATATCATATTTCTAGTTGACTCAATAATAGAAAAAATGTGTTTTACATAGAGATATACATAAATTGTACAATGATGAAAAAAGAGAGGTAAATTGTTTTAAATTCAATCCAGAAGACAGGCGGAAAAGAAGGTGAAATTTGTAACTTTATAGTGAAATATCTTAATAAATAATGGTTTGTTTACATTTTCATTATCAAATTCGTGTTTTTCAGACAAAAATACGTGAGTACCAAAAAAAATTTCCAAAAAAAAACCATCGCATGCTAAATGCAGTTTTACCGATATAATTATCATATGTGGGTAACATCTCTGTAAATATGTACAACTAACTTTTCAACAAACTTGACACTGCGGACACATATATTATTTATTCACCAAAAAAATTTTGGATTTATAGTACTTATACTGAAAGAGTTAAAATCAACGAAAACTATAAATAATCATACCAAAGTCGAGAAAATCATATGAGATGTTTGTTTATAAGTTGACATAAAAAACAATAGAAACGACAAATGACATACTACGAAATCTTATTCTCTCGCAAGTAATTCAATTAGTAGCATGCTGCTGTGCTGTTTGTTGTGATAAACAAGCCAACACATGATATTTCTTCTTTCTTCATAGAAAGAACCTTCGAGTAGGTATAGCCCGATAGCTCAGTGGTTCAAATCCCTGCGAGAGGTCAATTTTTCGTAATACGTAAATTTTCGAAAAATATACTTGTCAGAAGAAGGATCATATAGGACGGGTTCGGTCGGAAGAAGTCGCCTCTTCCATGCAGAAACGAGATTTTTGTTCCTCATACTAGAATTTCATTTTGATTTTATCAATTCAAAGATTCCACACTGAGTAGTAATGCTAAACTAGATGAGTACTACTGAAATATATGTATGTTTTGTAATTCCATCGGGTATCTGAATTTGTTGATAATTTCCCGAATCAATTAGTTATAGGTACTTTTCGACTGATCCAGGTTATCAGGAATACACAGAATATTATTCTAAGCAGAGTTCAGGTATGCCCAAACGAGTGTGAAAACATCAACGTCACAAGTCGCTCTAGGAAAATCGCGACTTAGCTCTACCTTTATATGTGAACATGGAAGTTCACCAAAATAACGTCAACAAAATGGTGAAGGAGCCCAAGCTGATCATTTTATTGTGTTCACCCAACGTCAGTGCCAATTTTGATTACCAATTTGATTCGAATTGTTACTTAGAACGTTGAATAGCAACAATTTTTTTCTGCCTAGGCAGTAAAAGTACACCTTTTCTGCCTGTTGAGTGTCATTAAAAAGACACTTTTAATGTCATTTGGAGAAAAATATATTTTTATAAGAAATAATTCAACAGAAAGGGAAAAAACTACCGTATCAAGAGTTAAGTCATCATCATCATCATCATCACCTCTCGTTGTCATCGCAAAGATTTGGAACTCTTTGCCAACGGAAGTATATTCCCAATAACTTTATTACCTCCAGAAGTTCAACAGAAATTCCAACATCTACCTCCCCTTACATTTCCTCCCTGTATGCACGATGTTCTACGAATATCATAGGAATATCCATTAGTGCGCTCCAAGAAATAAAAAAACACTAGCTCCCTCATCGCATATTCCAGGGAGTCGATATGGCCGAAGGTTACTTTCAGAAAACACCTAAATGACAAAGTAGCAAAAATTACTAATTATTATCACTTTCAGAAAAAAAAAGAAAATTGGAGCATCCTTATTGATAGCGATTGTGGGTGAAAGCACAGTATATTATCCTCGTGAAAGAATAATACACTGTGGTTAAAGATTGGCTTCTTGAAAGGCACTTTGTTTCATGCATGTATGTACTAAAATATGGATATATTATTTCTCAGTACCACTTCCTCTTATCGACTTTTTCATTTCCTCTCGAAAGGGGAGATTCCTGAGATTATTGATTTTATTTTTTGTTACCATGTCTATTGCGTAGCATTTTTATCAACACCTTTTTATGACATCAATGCATATATACTGTAACCATACACACCCGGGTGTTGTCTAAATATGGAACTATAACCATATTTCATGTGATCGTCTAGTATTCATCATGTTCGAGAAGTATCGAGATTCAATTCGACACCTCTCAAACATATTTCCACGTTGTGTTTTTTGTTATATAAGTTCGTGGATACAGAGTTCTGTGAAGGTAGAAAAGAAATGAAAATCGAGTATGAATCAAGAGTATTTATTGACCATGTATCTTTTTACGATGCAAATGTACGATGTGAAGTTGAGTGAATTAGCAAAAGGCAATCAAACCCTCTTCACTGCGCAACCAAGACTCAGTAGCAAAAGTTTATGTTGGTATTATCTGATCAATTGCTCAGATGGACTATGTTTGCATTTCCATCGGCTTGCCATCCGGTTTTTTTTTCAGTAGAAGGATCGTCTCCTGCCGGGATTGAATAAGAGTGGTTGCAAGCCACCTTCGAGGTGTACACAGCTACAGGGACGTCCAAGTCAGTATACCTACTGTGAATGTGAATGGAAGTAAGTGGGGATACGCTCCCACAGTACCATCGAGCAATTTGACCACTCATTGTCATTTATAAGCACTTCGAGTTACGTAGATAAACTAGTCAAGGTTAAGCAACAGCGAAGTATAAAATACTACCGAAAAGAGATCATGTGATGAGTTTACTCTATTTGGAATTGACGTTATCTATCAGTGACTGAGTGCTGATAGATATTACTCAGACTGGGGCCTGATCCTTCAACCCGTTCTTTCGGCTATAACGGAGGTAGAGGTCTGGTCATCTTCCATGTTTCCTGGTAGAGTTTTTCCACAAAGCAGACTCTTCCTGCCTTTGTAGCTGGAATAAATCGATACAAATCGAAGCTCAGATTCCTTACCAAGCTTTCTGATGTAACAAAGCACAACACTGCAGAATCCAGTATCCAACAAGGTCTTACCATACCTGGGATACAATCCAAAGTTGGAGTGATAGAATTTATGATCTCGTGATGATTTGTTACTTATTCCTCTGATAAAAAATCAAACAACCCATAGAAATTGAAATCTCATCAATAGAGTTATGAACTGAAACCCTAGCTATGATCCTCAAATATCAGAAATAAGAAGATTACTTCCCAGATGAATCAATACAACTCTTGATTATGATGAAATATTCTACCAAGCGAACTGGCTTGGGTTGTTACAATATGCTTCATCGTGCAATTATTGTCCATTCGAAAAAATTTTTGATTTCAATTTCCATAA